TATTATCATGCTGTCAGGTTTCACATAGGTGATGTTCCCCCTTAGATACACAGTACTATCTCTCCTTCTGGGTTATTTAAAGAGCCAGTTCATCTGTATCACCATTGCTGGAGCATGAGTTCCTTTTTCCTCGTGTTCAGCTGCCTCTGATCTAACTCTTCCACCATAAAATCAAAGAAATCTGTGAGCTGTTTAAAAAAAAATCCATCTTCTCAAATAAATGACCAAAAACAACCTCCATGCTTTCTTTAAAGACTTTTTAAAAGCAAAAACTCTTGATCAACCGTTTAAACTGTGCATTCATAGCATTAATGGTGGGTCCAAACTGTTCAGTCATCGCCTCGCTGTGTTTGGTGTCAGAGCCGTGACAAGTGAGCGCTCCTCTTTGGGACAATGCGGCCATTGAATTCAGGGTCGGACCCTTCGGGTAGCTTCGACATCTGAGAACAAGGGGTTAGATTTCACAGATCCATCTCTGCTGTTGACTTTCAAAGAGCTCTCAAGTCTACGCAAGGTGAAGATGGAGCAAATTTAGCTGAAGTACTTAATAAATACACCTGCTGGGCATGCTGATATTTCTGTTCCTCGCATTAATCAAAAGCCTTGTACGAAGCCACTGATAGTTGGGAGCATGCAGCAATTACTCAGACAAAATGAGGCAGTCGTCGAAGCTAGACAAGGTCTATAATGTAACTGAATAATGAATGATGAGCACCGTTTCTCTGGTGTCAGACGTGGAGTACTTTCTGTCCTTTGAGGCCTCTAAAAGTAAAACAAAAGAGAAGAATTTACTCACCTGTTCACTGGCAAAAAGAAAATAGTGGGACTCTAACTGAAATGACTGACTGTGGTTACCAGACCTCCAGTTAGCAGCGAAACTTTTATTCATAATGTTTCAGAGTATTTCTATTCCACTCAAGGCTGCTGATTATCTTAAACTACACACTTTTCACTTTTCCTTTATTTAGAATAACAAAAATACAGCATGTAATATAAGTTAGTACATGAGCAAAACACAGGGCATGAAAGCAGTAATGTCTTTGTTTCTCCACTGGGAGTTAGAAGATTAAAACTGGTGAATATTTAGACTGATTTAACTTCAAAGTAGAAGCAAAAATCTAAATAAACTGAACAGGAATGTTCACTATGACGAGGTGCTTATGCAAGACATCAGTGGGGATTTTTACACGGACACAGGTCAGAAGCTGTTTGATTTCAGTGCCTCTGACAGACAAATCGGGCACATCATCGCCGTAAATGTCAACAAACAGGGAAAAAAGCAACAATAGGATGAAAAACCATCCAGCTGCTCGCTATCTCAGATTTTAAATGTTGTAACATGTTGTAGAGCAGTGTTTTCTGTTCAGCCTTTGCAATTTAAAACCAATAGTTTTCAAATTTTTACATCAACATGAGACGAGGAGTAGGAAGCTGATAGAGAGGGAGATCTTCAGCTGTTTGAGGATCGGTTTGTCGTTTTTCTGATCCAACTCATTCCTCAGATCAGATCAGCATCTTCCTCCTTCATACAGTCCTATGACAAATGTCCACGCTTGTAAGCACTTTCCAGAATTGGCGCCTTGGGAACTTCTGCTGGCCACCATGCGGCTGCGTTGATGTGACAGACCATAACTTTCTCTGTGATCACAGTGGGGACTTTTAGTTCACTTTCAGAGCTGATGGTAAATTTTTAAGTGACTAGAAGCATTAGCAGAAATGTTTTTGGAAGTCATCTTTGCTTCTTGAAGCTGTGAAGCCTAATATCATTTTCCATGTTTCATTTTAGCCAATCAAAAGCAGCTTGCTGTGCTATTATTTCATTATATGTGTAAAATCTGGACACACTGGTTAAATATATTAACAGTAGCTCCTTTCTGTTCATGTGCATTGAAACCTTTTATGAATTTTAAAGCAATGAGAACATTTCACCTGTTTTTGAAAGCAGAAGACAGTTACAGCCTTTACAGGCCCACAGGCTGTCTGGTTCCTCTTAATTTGCATTAATGACTCTGTGTGTGTATATTCAGTCTCATGCAAACACGCCCTTCATCTTCCTGTGTGTTTTCAGGATGTGACTCAGTCTAGTAAGCACACTTCCTGCTTCACTGCAACGTCTGAGCAGCAGCTTCCTCTCTGGTGGTCACTTTCTTTCATTTTAACCGATGAGAGCACGTCAATAAGTGACCTCAGGCTGAAGGTTTAATGTGTTGACCCTTTTAAACCGACCTGTTAGCACAGAGAGACCATCTGCTACTGCTCAGATGTGCTCAGTTTAGCACTTAATGGAGTCCATCTTAGAGGACAGACTTAACTTGTAATGTCCAGAATCTTTCTTGTGAGGATTATCGCAGTTTCCCACCACACCAAATCAGATAATCGTTGTAAACAGAGGTGCAGTAAATATTAGCCTTATGTATTTAATGTTGTTGTTATTTTTAAAGTTTCTGTTCTGTGCTATGTTGTAACACTTGAAATATTTTGGAGGTTTAGATCATTATCAGACAACAAGGCAGCCTGAAAACATCATCACAACTTAAAATTCATACTTCTTCATTTTAATACTTCCAAGTTCACATCTTTAAAACATGTCTGGGTTTGCTAGTCAGTTTCTAAGCTCTTAGAGAGAGAGAGAGAGAGACGCTAAATGTTAATCAGGTCAGATGTTGGTCAGTCGCTCTGCACCACTGCAGCAAGCGCTGAACGTTATTAGATCCCTGTGCTTGTGTGCAGGAAATGCATTACTGTCTAGAGGCGATATTGCGCACAAAGAGGGTGCTGCAACAAAAACTTCTTTGTAATTGCTTTGGTTGCCAGCAGTTTACTGTGGTTGCCTGTAGTTTGCATGGAAGATGCCGACTTGTCTGCAAAAAACTTGCCAACTACTCTCTAAGCGGCCGTGAAGCTGTGAAAAGTATGAAGCGACCCATACAAGGAGATGCAAATAAATAAAAGTTGTGCCCCTTTGAAATGTTTTTGAAATGCAGACTATTTGGTGTCATCTATGTAACCAAAGCAATCGAAACAAGATTTTTGGTGTAGCGCGCTCTTTATAACTAGTTTCATAATAAAGGCGGCCAACCAGTTTGGGGATACACATTTTTCCCCATCAGCCAGAGGTTGCCAGGACTGACGGTCCAATCTCCTATCAGGCCTAACAGCTCTCATTCGTTGTTATTTTCTTTGGGAAATACTGACAACACGACTTTTCCCTGTAACGTTGTTTTCAGCGAGAGAGCTTGTCGAGCTCAGTGTTCACACACCCAAAGAACAGAGTGTGTCTGTGTGTTCAGTAACGCTTCAGCTGATGAACAAACATTAAAATAATCCCGGTGATGAGCGCGATGAACTCGGTGCGTGTTGTGCTGTATTGTTCTCAAAATAGCAGCACAAAGCCTCCTTGACAGGTACGAACAGCACCACAGAGGAAGAGCAGAAAGATTAATGAGGCGAACAGTTATATACAGGCTCATATAACTAAAATACTTTTTCCTGTTTTTGTAGCAACAAAAAACCACCAGAATAAATCAATCAGCTGACTTTAAAGACTTTTTACCAGCTTGAGTGTTTGTCAGTTTTTCAGCATTATGCTCTGTACCATTGGGTCATAACTTCAATATTTATTGCTATAAAGAAACAGTTAAATAGCACAAAATATTTTTGTCTGATAAACAAACTGCAGCAGGTTTGGGTTTAAGAAGAAAGGCAAGCAGATCCAGACGAACTTTTGCTCATTTTTAGTTACAGGATGAATTTGTTGTCTTTGCTGATGTGGAAAAAAAGAGAGCAAAGCTTAAAGATTCAAATGATGAACGATTATACTGACTGAAGGTGTGGCCTTATCACAACCAGTTCATCCTAATGGTCATACTTCCAGTAAAACTAAGAATCAGGATGCTTACAGGATAGAAACAGTTGAAGACATTTCTTCAGTGCTTGGAAAGATGTTATTAGGATTTAAAAATGCATATCAGTCTTACCAAACATCACTAAAGCAAAGAAACAACAGCTCAGGACTGAGTTGGTAATTCATTGCAACAAGTCTCATGCTGCTTCTCTTTCCTTCCTTAGAGTGCTGTACATCGGGCTGGCCTGCAACACAGCTCGCTACCTGTACATCTCCTACCTGGAGAACGCCTGGATCGTCCTGCCCATGGAGATCCTTCAAGGTAACCCTTTCTGTCTGTGTCTGCAGGGAGTATTGGGACTTAGGACCCAGAGGACAGGACAGGCCAGGAAATGGCTTTGTTTGTCCAGCATGGCGCCTTATCAGACAGCATTTCTCTTCCTGCAGTATCGCTGGTTAGCAGAAGGCTGTCAGGGCTGCAGCAGATGACAGAAAGCTGTAAAGTACGAGAAAAAAACTGAAGGGAAGGGAAACGGCCCAGATTCTCAACCGCGCGATCTGTATTACTCTGTGTTATTTCCTTTATTGTAGCAGCATTGCAATATACAGAGAGGATGTTAACAGAGGTGTCGTCAGAAAGCACATGTGCAGGGCGCTGCCGGACTTAAAAATAACAGAGAAAAAGTCCTCTTTCTCTGAGTCACAAATCAGTCGAATGCAAACTTGCAAACCATGTGTCACTTTTTTCAGCCCGGATAATGAACGCTGGCTTTTCTGTGCAAGCAGCAGCTTTCTCAAAACAGGGCTGATCAGTTTTAAAAAGGAAAAAACTGATTATATTATGTCATAGGTCCTGTTTATGAGCGGTTTGTTTCCTGTTCGGGAGCTGCTGCGGTTTACAGAACACTTAGCAGTAATCTGTCTTCTGTCTTTCTGATGTTCACATTAATGAGCTTTTCAGTCTTCACTCAGTCAGTTCAGTTCCTTTGTGGGCTCAGATTCACAGTTAGTGGAAACTAAAGCCACAGTTAGCAGCAACACGGATTTGAACATACATTTAATACATTTTTTTTTACTAAATATACATTTTATATTTTTAATTTTACC